CCTTATGTTCATTTCTCAAATAAATATGCTTTAGTTGTAAAGAATAGCGAAACAAAAAATCCATTTTCTGCGAAGTGCGAAAGGAGGTCGTATATGTGGATGTTTGAGAGGAGGTGGTTGCGGAGAAGGGTTTTTTCCCCAATTATGACCCCTCCGCCCGCCGACGGCTGTTTCTGACCTGAAGGAACAAGAGGAGCGTTTTCCTCAGAATTAAATAATACAGAAACCATCATGATAGCGAGCGTGCTGGTCGGGAGTGGTGGTGATGATGATGGTTGTAGGTCGTATTCGTTGGTGACCCCCCTCGCGTAGGGTTAGGGGTCGTATCGAGGACCCCTACCCCTGAGAAGAGGAGCGGTCGAGATTTTTAGAAAAGTGCGAACGCGACGGTTAACACTTAATCGAGTCACAGTGGGTGCGGTTTCAACAGACATTTCGATTGTTTCCGCTCTACATCGCTGAAGCTTCACGCTTTGTTAATCACGCGTTATGTGGAACCAAACTGGTAAAATATGGCTGTTTAGACAAGGAAGAGCACCTGGTTCTGTTTTTGTGCCGCACAGCTGGCGCTGAATGCCGATGAATCTTCGTCCGAGGAATTCCACAGAGCTGCAAAAGTGGCGCAATATGAATGGCATTGAAATTCACAAAATAGAGAAGCTTCCTCTAACTAACTCACTTCTGATGGAACAAGCGCCAAACGATTTATGATCTTGATTAGCCGAATAACTATCTGCTAGCATATGAGGCGTGGAAAACAAAAGACTACCAATACAAATTAGAGCAACACCAGCACCAAGTACGGCAGGCTTGCTATGCCGTCCGCCAAAGTAAGACACAGGTATACAAAATAAGACGTATCCAAAGTCATAAAACTAAACGACGAAAAAGAAGATAAATATACTCCGTAAAAAGCACACATGAAATTCGGGACAGTACCTGAACGATGCGACCCATAGTGCTAGTGCTAAGTTTGAACCGACGTTCTATTGAAGAGATCGATGAAGGCACGAGACCATTGACGATAATACCTTGTACTGCACAGTACCAACACAACAACGTAATCATCCATCTACGAGAACCCAGAAAAGACAACCAAGATGGTCTGAAATGGCATTGCGAGAGAAGAAATAGCAATCGCGAAATTTCAATGTAAAACTAAGAACATTACGAAAAAAAAAACAGAAAAACCAAGAAATAAAAAAATTGCAAAGAGCAAGATTTTCCCGTGGAATGCATTCAAGTCAACTTGGGTTTTTGCAAATGAGGGTTAAAGCGTGCATTGCCACCAACCTTGCAATTTCGAGTATGGAAAGCATATCTGTGATAGTGCGATCGCATGGAATTTGCAACCGTGCGATCGTAAATTCCATATAATCGCGACGACGCGGTTTTGGCCGCGTGTCCACTGTTGGCTCTTTGTCAATGTTTCCTACACAAGCAAACGGAAGCGCCATGAAACCGACCCAAAATCACATTCAAGCCAGCATAATAAAATGGAAAATTAGTGGAATGAATGACTTGATGAATCGAAAGGATAACTGGGCGTTCGAAATTGAGTACAACAAAATAACGACCCAATGACAGCCGCGACGCGTGCTACACGCGTACAGCGTTTTGG